ACTCGGTAGCGCACAGGTGCCGGCTCCAGCCCCAGTGCGGGCTGAAGCCCGACTCTCAGCGTCCGCGGGCGGTTTCTTCCTCTTCGGTACTGGCGGTTCTGTACTATGGTACCTGCCTCTTCAGGTTGCCGTGTGGCTTGAACGACAGAATCCGTACCCAGCAGCCCTAAGTAAGTGGTAGCTATTGTTAGTCATTGCTCGCTGGGCCCCGAGCTGCAGAGCTAGTCCCCGCCCCCTGAGCACTCAGGAGGGTGAGAGACTATTCTCAGGTGAGGGAGCTGGGGAGAGGCTTACAGGGACCAGGGCAGGTTCCTCCATCACCAGACTGCCTGCTGGGTTAAGCCTGCCCCAGACCCGCAGCTGGTGCATGAACCTGCTGGGGCCTGGGCCCCTCAGCGGCAACCCATCCTTGGGAGACGGGGTGATTTCCGGGATCCTCTTCCCTGCCCCCCACAATGCTCCATTGTCGGGTCTCAGTTTGGCACTTTCACATTTTTCAATCACCGTCACTCACACCTTTGGACCTGTGATGAGGGTAGACAGCAACTGATATCTGTGCCCATAGTTACAGATAAAGAAACAGAGGCTCAGGGAGCACAAGTGACTTGCTCAAGTTTACCCTCTTTGGTCACCAGCGGACCTCAGGCCCCAGCTGTACTCTCAAAGCAGGGCCTTGCGTCTTCGGAGACTTCAGCTGGTCATCTTGTTTGCTAAGTGGCGTGGAGGGAGGCTGGTCAGGGGCTCTGCAGTTCCCTGTTAACTCCCAGCCTCCCTACCTAGCTCTTAACCGTTTTTGTGAGACCAGTGCAAATTCCTTGGCCTTTGAGAAGAGAAGGAAGAGAGATCTGTTTTTCTGGGCTGTGGAATCTTTCTTAGAGTGTCTAAGATTGGGTCAGTTAGGAATTCTGGACTCCAAACCATAAGGCCACTAGTGTTCTGGGAAACCTCTCTTACTATGGGCCCCTATTTGCCTATCTGAAACATGATGATGTAGTGACTTGCTTTGCATGGTGCTGTGAGGAGCTCTTAACAATGGAAAAAGATAATAAAACTCATGAAATATGTTGTGATCGATGGCAAAAAAAATGCATATGAGTAGAAAGATCACTGGTGCAGGTGAGTACTGGGTGCAGTAGGCAAGGGAGGGAGATGGCAGCTGGAGTGGGGTGCCATCTAATTTTGAGAAAGCATTGGCTGCTACTCTTCACATTTCTCTTGACTTCTTTCAGGAACCTGCAGGGAGCTCATCAAAAGGAAGGGAGGCCCAGGCCTAGAAGGATAGGGCCTTACCTCGTTGGGGGCATTATGCAAAACCGGAGTTGTTAGGGCTTCAAAAATTATGGGAGTTGATAATGCTTTGCTGAAGTAAGTGGAGTCCAGAATAAGAGGGCCACTGTCACCTGGATGCTGACCCCACAGCACACTCTGCCCACAGCCCATCCCCAACCACTCCAGGACTCCAGCTCTGTTTCTTTATTTCTCCAGCTCTTCTCAGAGCGGTTTGGGTTCCATGACCCTGAAGGGTGCTTCCCAAAGAGCACACTCATGACCTTAGCAGAAGATCACAGCTGATGAGACTCCAAATGGCTAACAGCAATTGGTTGGTTCAGTCAGGTGAGGGTAGGTAGGGGCAAGGGTCTCCAGGGAATGGCAGGGCGGGCACTTGGTTGTAGTGCGCCATGAGGAAGATGCCAGCAGTGCCACAGACAAAGAGTGAGAGCGTGGCGAGAAAGCAGACACGGTCCAGCACACGGCCCACTAGGAACCACTCCTCCTTCCCCTGTGTGAGGGAGGCAAGGTATGGGATGACCAGCGGTAGCACCAAGCCAGCCCTGGACCCCTGAACCATCCTTGGCCTTCCAGCAGGCCTCCATTCTCCATTTCCTTGGACCCTTCTCACCTACTTCCAAGCCTCAACCTGGCTTCTCCATGGTCCTCTGGCCGTGATGTCCCCCCTCCTCCCCACTCCCAACTCTACTTTTTCCATCCCATCGCCCTTCTATGGTCACCCCTTCATCCTGCCCCCAGGCCCTCACCAGGTACTCACAGGCCTTTCCCACCCAAGACCGGCTTACACTGTCATAGTGGCTCCGCTCGTGTCGGGCATGGGCAATGAAGTTGCAGGCTTCCACACAGGCTTGGATGGCTGGGGCAGCCTGTTTCAGGCTGCTGCACAGCTCCTGGCTCTGCCCTGGCTCTGGGCCTTTCTCTGATAGATGAGATGGTCAGGTTTGTGAGTAGAACGGAGAAGAAGTAGGCAGAGAAGGTGGCCCTTCTCTCCCCAACCTGTACATTTGCCCAACACTCATCTGCAGTGCCTAGTGCTTTGGCCAACAGACAACCTTCCCTGTGTAGGGTCCACTGGGAGGAGTGTCCCCAATGTCACACCCTCTGCCTCACCTAGTTTCTCCAGCGCTGCCCTCACCAGTCCATTGCGCTGCCACTGCCGGAAAAGAAGTTCACTGCGAGGCAGGCAGAGGGCTGCCTCCTCCCCACCTGAGATCGACCACCCGGCAGAGGAGCCATTCTGCAGCCTGGGCTGGGCATCCTGCATGGCCGCTGGGGCCAGGGGGCGCACGTGCATCCGCAGCAGCTGGGGCAAGAGTCGCAGGAACACCTGCAGAGGAGGTGGGCAGCCAAGCTGGGCTTCAGAGCAGAAGGTGAAGGTCGGTACAAAGGGCTCATGCTGCCAGAGGTCGGGAGGCAGCACATCAGAGGCAGTGGCTTGGCCCTGATACAGCTCAGCTGCTCTCTTCCAGACAATGAAGCTGGATCCCCACACTTGTGCGTATTAGAATCGCCAGGGCAATTGTTCCATACACAGGTTTCTGGGCCCCACCCCTGCTATTCTGGCCCAGGATATGGCAGGAGTCCTGGGAATCTGTGGCAAAGGCTCCACCTGATCATTGCAGGTGGGCTGCAGATCACACAGGCTCTGGTGCCAGACTGCCTGGTCAGAACCCTGCCTCCTCCACTTTCTTCTTGTGTGTCCTTAGGTAAGTTACTTAACCTCTCTGTGCCTCAGTTCCTCATCTGAAAAATGGAGAGGATACTAATACCCACTGCATAGGGGTTTTATGAAGATTAAATAAGTTACGCCGGGCCGGTGTTGCTCAGTGGTTGAGGGTTGACCCATGAACCAAAAGGTCACTGGTTTGATTCCTGGTCAGGGCACATGCCCAGGTTAAGGGCTTGGTCCCCACTAGGGGGCGAGCATAGGGCAGCAGATTGATGTTTTATCTCTCTCCCTTCTCTCTAAAAAATCAATTAGAAAATATTTAAAGAAAGATTAAACAAGTTAGTATGTGTAATATGCCTGCCACTTGGTAAGCATTCACTGTTATTGTTAACTCATTTGGTCACGTGCTTCAACATACACACAGGACAGATTAGCTGCTGACTATGGTGTGTCAGGAATATGCACAGGGCCAGGGGTGCTGAGGAAGGTGCATGTCGAGGGACAGGGCGGGAAGGTGCTGGAACGGGCAGGGGGGTACTTGCCTTGCGAACCCTGCAGGCCATGGAGTGTGTGTGGGGGGACCGCAAGGACACGTTGAGCACCACCACAGCATTCACGACAATGAGGATGGTCACCACCAGGAGGAAACTCAGGTACCTGACGGGTGGGGTGGGCAGCAGGCAGGGCTGGCCCTTGGGCACTGCATCCCCAGGTGCCAACCCCACCCTTAGCGGCTGCTCCCCTAGCTCCCTTGGGCGAGGGGCTGGCATTGGGAGGGTGGCAGTAGGGCAGTGCCCAAGAAGGGGAGGAGGTGGGCGGCAGGGAGGCCGGGCCTTACTTGCTGATGAGTGGCACTGCCTGGGAGGTCTCGGGCACCTTCTTAGCCACAAGGAAGAGGAAGACAGTCTGGGCCAGGAGCACATTGATGGCCACGGTACACTTCTGGCCACCCGCTGCGAGTGACCAAGAGGCTCTCAGAGCAGGTCTCAATCTCCCTGCTGTGGGCACCTCCCCCTCCCCACAAGGAGCCCACTACCCCTGGTCCCAGCTGGTGGGGCTGCTCCACCAGCTGTCCCCTGTGGCGGGGCCAGTGGCTCCCGTCCCGCAGGCTCTGGGTACCCTTGGCAGGAAGGAAGTAGATGAGAATGGCAACGGAGGAGATGAGCACACAGGGCGCGATGATGTTGATGACGTAGAAGAGGGGCTTGCGCTGGATGAGCAGGTAGAAGACCACCTTCTGGTGGCCCGCCTCCTCCGCCGGGGCCGCAGCGTCCAGCAGCATCTTGGCCGGCCGGTGCCGGATGGCCCACTCCCCGTTCTCTGTGGGTGGCAGCCAGGTGGGCGCGGGCAGTGGGCTGGGCAGGCCCCTGCGCCCACATGTGCCCGAAGGATTGCCCTCGAGGGGCAGAAACAGCGAGGAAATTCGGATACTTGATCTCTCTCCCTCTAAAATGGGAGCCATTATCTGAGGAAAATCAGAACTTTGTAGGGCCTTTAAAAAACCATTTTATGTTTTGCTTAGTTTCCATCTTGAGTTACGTGGGGGTGGGGGGGGAGCATGACCTTGGCCTAGCCCTGTCCCCACAACCAGGACCATCGGGGGCCCTGGGTGGTTACCTGTGAAGGCCTCAGGGTCAATAAAAATCCACTGAATGGTCTGACCATCTTCCTGGCTCAGCTGCAAATTGATCTCGTTGGTGCTGTAGGTCTGGGACCTGGGGCGGGAGGGAAAGAGAGGAAGCTGAGTGTGTGTAGACCCACCTGTGAGGTGTACGGTATAGTCATCTCTGGGCAGTTTTGCCTCAAAAAGTACAGCCAGTCCGGCCGGGGTGGCTCAGTGGACTCAGCACCGTCTCATGCTCCAAGAGGTCACGAGTTCGATTCCCGGTCAGGTCACATGCCTGGGTTGTGGGCTCGACCCCCAGTAGGGGCCGTGCAGGAGGCAGCTGACCAGTGACTCTCTCATCATTGATGTTTCCATCTCTGTCTCCCTCTCCCTTCCTCTATCTCTAAAAAATCAATAAAAACATTTTTTTTTTTAAAAAGTGCAGCCAGCCCGGGCTGGTGTGGCTCAGTTGGTTGGAGCACCTTCCCCATAGACCATAAGGTTGTGGGTTCCGTCCCTGTTTAGGGCACTTAAGGAGGGCAACTGATCAATGTTCTCTCTCACATTGATGTCTCTCCCCCTCCCTCCCCTTTCTCTAAAGGGCAATAGGCAGATCAGCTGGAGAGGGTTAAAAAAAAGTGCAGCCAATAATTTCTGAGTTCTTCACAAAACCCTGGCAGCAAGATGAGGGGGGACTCGGGCTCTTTGGGGCCCCAGGGAAGCTTGAGCGGAAGGGGTAGAGGCTGTGGCTCAGTGCAGTCGCCCGGGGCTACTGTGTCCTGCCCTTCTGCAGCCCCCCGGGCAGGAGGGGCCAATGGTCAGAACAGAGGGAACCGTCCGTGCCCCCGGTCTGTTTACTGAGGAGGGCCTCCCTGCGAGGCCTTCCCGGGAAGACTGCTCCTCTGAACTGGAGGCCGCCCTCCCCCGGAACCCCTCCCGCGGGGGGCTGCAGGGTGTGGTGGTCTTGTGTGTGCGTCACACACTGTGGCATGTGTGTGCCCTCTCACCCACCCACTTCAGGCGTTCATTTCTCCCCTTGGGGCACAGGCAGGGGAACCGAGGGAGTGAGAGACGTTGAGTGAGGGGTCTGGGGCTTAGCAGGGAGGGACGTGGTGTCTGCAGGTGTCTGGATCTGAGATGTGCGCAGGGGCCCCAGAGAACGGAGCCAGGACCCTGGCCGGAAGCCTCGTGTCCCTGCCTGGCCACGGCCCCTCTTAGGGCAGCTCCCTAAGTCCCCCCTCGCTCCAGTAAATGGACTCACTGGAAGATAAGGGAGCAGTTCTGCCAGTCGAAGGGGAAGTAGGTGACAGAGATGGGGCAGGAGGAGCGGAAGATGGCAGGTGGCAGCCAATAGACGCAGCCGTCGGGAGACACGAGCACGTTGCAGTAGAGGGCCACCTCGAACACGCCGTCCACACTGCGGCAGGCCAGGCCACGAGGCTGCTGAGACCCACACCCGCACCTGCCCTCTGCCCCGCAGGGTGGGGCCTCCGGACACCACCCCCTCCCAGGAGCCACGCCCCTGCCTGACCCCACCTGGCTGCGGGAACCAGCACCTTCCCCAGCGCCCCAGCCCGCCAGGCTCCCCAGGCCCCATCCCATCACCACCTCCCGCTCTCCGCAGCAGAGGTCATGGCACTTAACTTCCTGCAAAGTGCCAGGGCTCAGTGCAGCGCTTTTCCTGTATTGCTGGCTCTCCACAGCTTCAATGGGCGCTGTCCCCAAGGGGGAGGGAGGGGAGTGGCCCACGAGGGCAGCCAGCCCAGGATGGCAGAGCTGAGTCTACAAGCAGCTCTGGCCCGGGCCCAGCCCTCCTCACCTGCTCTGTCCAGTAGTCTGTCCTGGTCTGTACCTCTCCCCAACCCCCCCGCCCCGCCCACCGTCACCTCGTTTTCCCAGGCCCCCCT